GCTGTATTATCCTAAGAGCATAAACCTACTGTACATAGTGCAACAGAAGAAGAGGCCCCTTAATTATTATAACAGACAATTAGAATTCATAAAAGACAGTTTTGACGACGTCCAGATAATAAAATATTTCTATAAAACTAGAATAAAAATCAGTTATAAAGAAATGACCGATACCCTTGCTAAGAACCTAATTAAAGAATACCTCTGCAGAACTTGGTTTGCAACTTAGGTATACACGCTTAGGTATCTTTAATCCAAAACTTTTATAACACGATTCATTAACTCACGTCAATTCTTAATATTTTTAATATCAAAACTTCTGCTTGGCTTAAATCTAATACGAACGAAATTCTGATAATATCCCACATTCCGAGAGATAGAATTAAAACACCAGTTTTTTATTTGGATATCCAAGAGTTGAGTGATATAGGTCGGTAGAAATCTAGAGATGGCTTGTCTTGACCCGTTTTTATGGATTGGGATTATTGAGGAATATTGTAGGAATATTGTAGTATATTGAGGAATTTGAGATCTCAAGATTAGTCTCTTTTTAGATATTAGAGGTGTGGGTAATCATTGTGTAATTTATTTTGTCATAGCCTAACAAGCTAATAAGTTTTTTTAATATGAAAAGACGATTTATATTAATGATTTCGGCTATGGCTTTGATGCGAGGGTTACAAAAGTGAGTGTATCAGGGACTTAACTGCAGAACGATCAGAAAAACGATAAGCCAAAGGTGCAGGCGCAAGAGAAAAGTGGAGCTTAGATTTTTAGAGAACGAAAGATTATCACACAGCTGAGGTACCAAGAGAGTTTAATAGGTTCTAAAAATTTGTCATGCTTACACTTACACTTACGAACTGCTGAGAATGATGAGGGTCTTCGAGCTTAAGATTTTGGGGTATGTTCAATGTCAATGTATGTATGCAAATGTCAATGTTAAAGCAGACCTGAATTTCGGTAATATGGGAGGTAAAAACAGGAGTGATGTCGGTCGAGTATTTAGAAGTTTGAGATCGCATTAAAATATTTACTGACGAACCATCTGTCTCATAACTAGAATCGCCTATCCCAGAAAAGCAAGTGGATGATTTTGTCTTCTTAAGTTGAAGCTGATTGAAGAATCGATATGTTATAAGGCGCAGTTGAAAACACGAGTCAAGAAGTGCACGGCAAGGTGTCTGAACTGTTTTTCACTAATACGGTGGCAGTGGCACTTTACTGACACCTTTACTGGCACCCATTACTGACATCCTGTGCTTAAAGAGGAGCATAGGACTTCATGCAATGCGAAGGGCTCTACGGCATGATGTAAGTCAGAGGCAAGCGTTTCTCTAAACTGTGATCATTCTTGTGATGACCGCGTGGCCAAGATTCCAAGATGAAGGGGAGTGTGGTGTTAGATCCACATGCACTGCAATTTCCATTGCAATTGCCAGTTTTAAGGAAATTTATGCAACGGGTGAGCCTTTTTGCTTCTTTAAATCGATTAGCTGGGGTCAGGTTTTTAAAGCTCTCTTATTAAAATGTAAAGTGCCCACAAGTCGAGGGGCTGAGACTTGTAACAAGAAAGGAGAAATTACTCAAATCAGACGTTATTTTCCTGCCCACCTGATTGCCTGGGGCATTCCTTGCCATGGCGTAATCCATAGTTCAGAGTCAGGGAAGGTCCCGCTCCAATCGATGTATATTTGTCAATTGTTCTTAAGATACAAGGGTTTTCGTAGCCCAAGGCTGGAAGCAGGGCTGCTTTATTATTTATATATTTTATAATCGAACCGTCGCCGAGCGACAGCGCAGTAGGAGGTCCTATAGGCACGCAATCAGCGCTTGGCCAGCGTGAGAACGCTGACTATTCAATTATGTATGTTAGCCGTCAAGAGGGTGCGCTTGCACTTGGTCTGGACTGTTTATATACACATTGCAACAGAGTGCTAAAATGTGTTTGTATTGTAATATGCATATATCACACACACTGTACACACTGTACAAACTGCAACATTTTATTACACTTTAATTACGTAAACATAAAAGCCTGACCATAAAGCAGTGTCAGCAAATTCCCATGATCGAAGCACACAGGCGATGCGTGCATATACACTTTCTGTCGCGCTCACGCTCTATGTATAAGTGTGCATAGATATAAGTGTGCGCATAAGCAGTCCGGCTGCTGCCAACTTCTGCGGGCAGCGCAGCCGCCACCGATTGGATTTTAAATTCATTCAACATTTATTCCTCGAAGGGCGCAGAACCTCCTACAATAAAGAATTGGTCAGATGAAGTGGCTATTATACGCCCAACAAAAACCGCCTAACTGGTGTACAGCCTGTAAATAACAAGCTAAGTTAGACTATTTGAAAAGCACCCTTAGTGCTAAGAAGCCCACACTTTCTGATGCTCACTCAGAACCCTCCATAGGAACGTGCAATGCAAAACAAACATTAGAGAAGTCCCAACGGACAGCAGCGAGGGAGCGTCAGCGTGTCAATTCCAGCGACGTCCAGACACAAAATAACCAATGACAGCAGAAACAAAAAATTTAAAAATAATCAAGAAAGAATGATATAGTCGATTTCCCCGGCTATCAGATACCCGTTACTCAGCTAGTGGAAGTGCTAAAGAGAAATTTAAAAATCCTAAGGAACATCGGTAGAAATTCGAAAAAAAAATAATAAAATGAAAAAAACTTAAAATTTTTTTAAAAGTGTGGTTGTGAGAGTTTTGTGTGATTTGTGGACGCTAAAGCGGGCGTGGCAGAAAGTATTTTGGCAAATCTGTAGAAATTTACAAAATATATAAAAAAGTGAAAAAATATCACAACATTTTTCAAAAGCGTGGGCGTGACATTTTTGGGCGCTTTGTGAGTGGGGCAAAATTTTTGGCAAATCTATAGAAGTTTACAAGATATATTATATAAAAAAATGAAAAAATATCACATTTTCCAAAGTTATGGGTGTGTTGCAAATCTATAGAATTTTACAATATAAACAATACAATATTATATAATTAATTATACAATATATATAAAAATTGAAAAAATTTCAGAAGTGTAGCCGTGACAGTTTTGTGCGGTTTGTGGGCGTTAGAGTGGGCGTGGCAACATTTGGAAAGAAACTTGCGCAGCGTTTATGTCTCTAGAAGCTGCTTGCAACATTCTAGCCTTATAGCTTCCTGAGATCGAGGCGTTCATACGGACAGACAGACATGGCCGAGACGGATCGACTCGGATCCTGATCAAGAATATATATACCTTCTATGTAGACCCTAATAAGGGATACGAGAAAAAGAAACCGCTAGAGATCATTATGGACTGCACGCCAGACCTACAAATAGCGTTGACATCCTACCACGTATACAACCTAGAAGCACTCATGATCCTGGCAGACGAGTACAAGGCATAAGAAAAGGGAAAATTTTGCGGAAGAGTTCTTAATATGCATTTTGAAATTGTTGGTAATCCATTTCCTTAAGTTGAATCCTAGCTTCTCCAATTCTTGTGCAATTAATGCTATTAAATTATTAGCTTCTTCTACCGAATCAGCTCCAGTCAGTAAGTCATCCATATAGAAATCATTCATAATTATTTCACTTATAATATCTAATATTTGGTAGCCAAATATGGTGCAGTTGCAGTTCCGTAAGTGACGGTGGTTAATTTATAATTATAAATATTTTTTTCTGGAGAATTTCTCCATAAAATATATTGATATTTTTTATCATCATTATTTATTTTTATTTGTCGGTACATATTTTCTCCATTTAATAATGATGTAAAAAATATATTTTTGAACTCGTGGCCCAACCCACATTATGTCCTTCAAAGTGTTGTTATTCGGTGTTTGTTTTTGTTATTTTGTTATTATTATTAATGAAGCAAAAAAAAACTACTTTCAACTTGAAAGCGAGGCTTGAATCTCTAATCATAGCCTTGCACGGTAAGAAATTTTTGCCTTCATCACTCACTTCACCCATGCGACCTAAATCAATAAATTCTTTCATGAATTCAGTGTAGGCAATCTTAAAATTCTCATTTCCTTTCAATTTGTCTTCAAATTCATGTAGCCAACTATTTCTTGTTTTTTTGAATCTCCTAAGGTGACATCCTCCTGGAATGGAATTGAGACTATCTCATCTGAATCCTTTTTTGAAGTTTTAATAAATTTATTTTCACAGATGTAAGACTCCATATCATTTTTTTTCTTCTTCAACTTCCCAATAGCGATCTAAATCTTTTAATTCTACAATAGTTTCTTTTTCTTTGGAATTTTTACATATAGAAACTATTCATCCGAAATCTGTTTTTGACCCAAGAAGACAGTATATTTTTATAACTCCATTCTGCAGTATGTACAGAGTGTATACGTCTGCTCCAAAATTTAGAGGTTTATTAAAAGCGGTGTCAGCTAATTTAAAGCTCTTAAATTTTTTCTGATCAACATTAATTGTGTTGACTGGAGTGCTTTCAAATGTTTTCAATTTCCAAATTTTTTGGAGAATTTTTTTGTGCTTAAAAATTTACGTTCCTGTGAAAGATACTCCACTTATTTTTGTATGTGTACAAAATTTTTAATATATTAGAATCTGTTGAGACTCTTCTGAAATGATTGTTCCACTATCAATCAAGGCTCTTAATTCAAAAAATTTCAAAACCCCCAATCCTTGCCTTTACTTGAATCACCGCCGTGGCTTACAAGGCTGGCCATGTTGTTCTACAACATGGTTATGACCTGTAAAGTGAAGTACCGTGTGGTGAGGTATTTGACAATCTACATGCTTAATGTCAACATTCTAGCTTTTGTAGTTCCTGAGATCGAGGCATTTATACGGACAGACGGTCGGACGAACGGACTTGGCCAGATCCAGTCGGCTATTGATCCAGATCAATAATATATATATACACTTTATATGGTCGGAAACGCTTCCTTCTGCATGTTACATACTTTTCAACAAATCTAGTATATCCTAAAAAAAAACTAACGTAATTTTTTATTTGATAGTGTTTTTTCAGAACCCAAGGGACAAGGCGTCGTCAGTGGACACCAAGCAGAGAGGAAATTTTGTGTACTACAAATCGCAGACCATGCTACGCTAAATTTTATTTTATGGATGGGCAATATTACTCAATCGAGTTTCAACCAAGCTCCACAGCAAATGACGTGTTGGCCATAATAAAGAAAAAGATCGGATTACAGGATAATGCAAAGGGATATTCCATTTATGAAGTAATAGGAAACTCGGAGAGGAGTCTTTCATCGGAGGAGAAAGTAAGCGATGTAATGGCTAAATGGGAGAAGTATCAAGTAACATCACAACAAGGATTTCAGGTAACTTCACCAGATTTATATATTGGAATTTAGCTTTCAATCCTTGGTACCATATACATATACCATGGTACGAGTATATATTTCAATTTTATTTGCCGTTGTATATTAGCAAAAGTATCAGTGTGCCAAAGTGTATCAATGTGTGAATAAAATTTTAAAACTTTTTTCCCAGCCCACAATCCTTTCAAACTGCTCCCTCTTTCTCCTAAAATTTTGAAATTTCTACTTTGCACTTCAGGTAGCTGAGTAAGGGGTAGCTGATAGTCTAGGAACTTAACTATAGTATTCTTTTTTATTTTTAAAATCGCTAGTGAACGATTGATATTAAAGCGAAAGTGGCATATGATTCTCATTAAAAATATATTTCGCCGTAAAGTTCTCGTTCGACAGCCCAAGCCACCTCTTGTGTTCTTCCGCGATACGATGACATAACATTCAAATCCGAATCGGAGTCAAAGCAAACAGGATTCTTATCTAATATCTATTTAGATCGACTCGGAAAGTAATCCTGTAAAAGAATATATATGCTTAACCTAAATGTTTGGAAACGCTTCTACCTGTATCGTATCATTCTATTCAATGAAGCAAGCATATATTTTTAATCTACAAATAAACGGGTATAATTACTGAGGTCCGGTGTTTTAATTGCAATAGTGTAATTCTTTCAACAATCAATGAGGAATAGATGAAAAGCTCATACTAAATACAAAAAACACCACCACCATAGATCTCTATACTCTTCCGTCTCTCATTTGAACCAACCGAAGCACGCAACACTCTTTCCACAAATTCCTCATTAGCTACAAATAGGACGAGTTCCACCAAGTGCATTTCCTGATTCCATGTCATAAATTCTGAAGCAATAAACAATGCCAAAAATAAAGTTAAAATATCAACAAATCTTCTAAATAAAACCAAAAAGCTCCTAAAAACCGACCTGAGCTGTATCTTTACTAGATTGAAACATAAAGTTTTTGCCTGTACAGACACAAATAAATATAATGCCAAGGAGTAATGACAATTAAACTACTGAAATGGATCATGAACGTCTATCTTAACAACAAATTAATTATCTTAACAAAACCATTCGACTCCAAAAAAATTTCACTTCCAGAAACACACATCACATATACTCAAAGAATAGCTATGTATTCTAGTAAACCTACAAATCTATAACAGTGCGCGGTGCATCTATCTTAACACAAATCGATACAAAAAAAAACACCAATCCAAGATCACACCCCAGTCGATACTATTGGACTGCAGAATAAATCGCATAAAAAAATCACCGTTGTCGCATCGTACATATAAATGTACACCCTGTTATGACCTTATATTAAACTACCCACTTTTCGACCCATAGATCGCTTCCACATATAAACAGCATTTTCATCTAAAAATCTATTGCGATTTCAAAGCAATTAGCTCTCTTCTTGGTAGCGATAATTTTCCTAACAATCGAACAAAGAATTACAAATAAGAGAACTCTGTGGCCTCCACAAAGAAACCGCAATTCACGCTATCAAAACCGGTAAAATAGAGTCCATTTAATGTCTATTCCGTTTATTCAAAGTGGTCCGCTGGCTCCACAATCGGTTTGCTACCAGACCAATCCAGCACGATGATGGCGCAATGTGTCGTCTCTGAGGCACAAGTTAATGAATAAGTTGCATAAGTTATCAAATACTTCCACGACACTAGGAACTAAAACAATATAGAATGCTATAGTCGAGTTCGCCGACTATCAGATACCCGTTACTCAGCTAGTGGATGTGTAAACGAGAAGTTTAAAAATTTTCTGGAATATCGGTAGAAATAGAAAAAAAATAATAAAATTAAAAAATATTTTGGATGGTTTTTGGCGGTTGGAAAGGGCATGTCAAAACGTTTTTTGGCAGATCTACAGAAATTAAGATAATATATTCAAAAATGAAAAAAATTTTCAAAATTGTGGGCGTGACATTTATGAGCGGTTTGTGGGCGTAGAGCGGGGGTAGCAAAAAGTTTTTTGGCAAATCTGTAGAAATTTACAAAATATATAAAAAAAATGTGGCCGTGACAGTTTTGTTCGGTTTGTGCGCGTTGGAGTGGGCAACATTTAAAAATAAACTTGCGCTGCGTCTATTTCTCTGGAAGCATGATTAATCTCAACATTCTAGCTTTTGTAGTTTATGAGATCGAGGCGTTCATACGAACAGACGGACAGACTGACGGACTGACGGACAGCGGACATGGCCAGATCGACTCGGCTATTGATCCTCATCAAGAATATATAATAAACTTTTTAGGTGATAGATTTATTAAAAAAAAATATATTTTTCCTTTTATAATCTTTATAGGATTAGTTTCACCAGAGGTCAGTTATGAACTAATTTACAAATATATTCTTTCGGCCCTTTTACAGAGGATTAACATAAGCCTTTTAAGTTCTTCATAGCTTTATATGTAAAGCATACCGGATCATTAAGTTATTACCGTTAAGGGGTTGGTGTCTTATGAGAATGTTATTTATGAGGCTTTTGAAGATTTATTTATTTAGCTGTTTATATGAAGAGTGAATATCCCCCACCTTTTAGATATTAGCTTGTCTTCAAGCGATTATTTCTGGATATAATTGTGGTACTGCATTTTTAATTTCAACAATTTCTGTTTTTGATTCTGTTTCTTTTTCGATATTTTTGTTTAGGGTTTTACTTGGTATTAGGTAAGAGATAATAATTTTGTGAGGCGCTGTTTTACATTTCATATAAAAGTAAAATATGTAAGTTAAAACAAAACAAATATGAAGATTATTAGTATGTTTCTGTTAATTGTGTTATTCTTATTGTTTAACGAAATCATTTCTTTAATTTCTATGTGTGACATTGGTTCGACTTTGGTTACATTGTGTTCAGTAAATATTACATCTGTGTATTGTTGAATACTATTAGATATTGTAATTTGTTTTAATTCTGCATTGCAGTTGGATATTTTTATGATTTTATTATTTTCAATATAAATATCTTGATCGTTACAATTGTGATAAAGTTTTTATCTTGTCATATTCCAGGTTAGAGGTATATTTGGTTTAATGTATTGAATATAGGATTGTTTACGATATTTTTGAAAAGTACAAGTTGGTGTTCGTGTTTTATTATATTAGCTATGCAATGGTCTTTGACAATATTCTTTGTTAGTGTATTTAGAACATAGTTGTTATGTGAGAAGAATTTGCCTTCAATATTTTCCTTAATAATTTGGCCATTATTGTCGGGGTAAGGTGCTATTATGAAAGTTGGTTGTTCAATTGTATTCATAGGAATGTGGGACATTAGGAATATTTCATTAGTAGCTACGTTATACCAGGCGGAAGTTTTTATGTTTATCAGATTTTTGTAATTAACGTTGCCAATATTGTCATGTTTTAGTAGTTTAGGATTAAATATTCCTAGTCGTGTTAGTTGTGAACCCATTTCGATGTCTTCGATATATTCGGTAAAATGTTCAATATTAAATATTAATAAATTCAATTTTTGTTCCTTTTTCAAAGAATTGGACTGGTTGTTAATTATTTCTATGCCATTATTGAGACTGTCAATAACGTGTACTGTGTCTTGTGATAGAGTCGAAATTTGTTGTTCAATATGTTGTCTGTCGTCTTCGTCTAGTGTGCCAAAAAGATATCTTAATGTGGAACCTACAAAGTTAGCCAGTCCTCGTTTGTTTCGTTCTGAGATGCGTATGCCATTTATTTCTCTTTCCATTTTCTCGGTTAAATATTTAATTTGTGTGACATTTTTAAATTCTTGACATTGTTTAATTATACTATTAAATGTTTCTTCAACTTCTGTAATATTTATGGTGAGACAGTGATGCATAAAGGTGATGGGGATTTGTATTGTTCCAGATTCAAACAAGATAAATCCTTGATTGTTTTCTATTGGGTTGATTTCGATTGTTCCTGCTGTAGTTTGTGTCGCAATACAAGTTATTATGGTGATTATGAGTCCGATGATTGGGAGGTGTCGGTTTGCTGCAAGTATTTGCTGTCATTAACTGTCTTTTTCTTTTTGAATTTGCTTTTATAACGAATAACGTTTTGGCCTCTATTAATTTCGTTGTTTTTCGTCTAATTGTTCTATTCTGCCTATTTTTCTAAAGGGATTATTTGATTTTGCGCTCGTCAAGGGTGCTACTCTAAATTTTGTACCGATTTCGAAATCCTGTCGTTTTTTGTTAAGTTTTTTGATTTTAATTTATTTAATTATCTGGGTTTCATATGTAGGTGTTCCTGCGTAAAGAAGGATGTTAGCCGGTATCTGTCTGGTTGTGTTATGTTTAGTCTTGTGGTTGTATATGTATAAAATTGTCTCCATTCGTGTTTCTTTATTTTCTCTATTGTTCTCAGTATTGATAATTCTGATTTTTTCATTTATGGTTTTATGAAGGCGTTTCCTGTATTCCTGTCTGCTATTCCTGTTTTACTTGTGGTAATATCTGTTTGCATGTCTCCGTTGTTTAGCCAAATTTTTAAAGAAGTGCTTACAAACGCGGAGTCTTTGTCTGCTTTAATTTTCTTTGGTTTTGCTATATCGTTAAAAATTCTAGTAAGGGCTCGTTTTGCCTCTAACCAATCTCTACCGTTTGTTTTAATAAGTGAAGCGAATTTTAAATATACGTCTATACAGGATAAATACTGTTCGTTGTCAGTTGCATAAAAATCAATAACATACATTTCTTGTGGGTTATTTGTCTCTGGAGTTATTTCGAAAGCAAGTTTTGTTGATCTATGTTCTGTCTTTGCCAGGTTACAGATTTCGCAATCATTGATAATGTTTTGAATTAGTTTATTATAATCGGGAAAATAGTGAGTTTCTTTAAATAATCGTATCATTTTTTCAATACCAGGATGTAACAATTTAGAATGTTGAGTAATAATAAATTCTTTAAACTCAGGATAAGATTTTATATCTTTTAACTTTATGATACTTTTCAGAATTTTCACGTTACTGTGTGGGTTA